TCTGTGGCTTTGGAGGCTGTCCTGGAACTCACTCTGTAGACCAGGCTGGCCTCAAACTCACAGAGATCCACCTGCCTCTGCCTCCAGAGTGCTGGGATTAAAGGCGTGCACCACCAACGCCCGGCAGTCAGTAATGATCTTGAGATACCCTGTGTTCCCTTTGTGCAGCATTGTTTAATTAGCCTTCTCCCTGAATTTGTCCCATTGCATGACAGTTTCTACTGACTTCATAGAAGTCATCCATCTTCTTCCATTATCCCCCTGGAAGTAGTACACAAGATGCTATTCTTCTTAAGAAGCTAACTTGATGTGGGACATATCTTGTGCAAGACCTCCCCATCCCAGCTTTTATCTTTTCTGCCTTCTACATTTCCTGTCTTTACCATTTCCTGCCACCTTCACCTTAGTGAAGAAGATCCTATGTCAGGGCTTTGGTGTTCTTAAGAAACAATTCTGGGAATATTTTTGATGTGTAAGTCTCCCATCTGCTGAAGTAGCTAGAAATGCTGTCTCCTGTCTCTATATAAATTGTTCAAAGTGTAACCTGGACCATGACCCAAATGCAACATTTGTCTAGGCTGGCTCCTCCTTGAGTATTAGCCAGAGATGTATTTATTAAAAATTAAATGTATTTTTCTTTATGAATGTCCTAAGTGTGTGAAGTAATTTCTCCCTGGTAAGGCATATTAATGTTAGAACTGCTACATTTCCATTCTGCTAGAAAATTTTTTTCTGAAGCAAGTTCTATTATGTTGACTCAGGTTGCCCTGATTCAAGTCTGTTGCTCTCACAGGCAATGACTTTGCTGTCTTCTTTACTACAACTTTAAAGTTCTTACATGAATGTACCACCTCAGAGAGTTAAAATTGTCCATTTGAGTCATGTAGTCAATTATAAAATGAAGTCACAGGAAAAGGACATTCATGGAGGAGCATTGCTTCTGCCTTCAGACCAAAACAGGAATAGTTTACACTGCAGGATAATTCATGGTAGGCAACCAGCTACTGGAGTCACCATTATGAAAAGGGACCTGATTGTGGTAGGGGGAAGTGATTTTGTATTTTCCTGCATGTTTTAATTCCTGTCATGTGAATAAACACTGACCAGATTGTGTGAGTGCACAGTTTGGGAAAGTTATCTTGATCTAATGAATATTAAGTTTGCAATTAGGTAACTATCCTGTGCAGATATGTTCTATCCTGCTTGACACAGCTTTCTTAGCTCAGAAGTTTGAGAAGCAGGTCATTGACTATAACTATGTGTCAAATTACAAAGCTCAGTAGCCAACATATGCATATATTTATCTCTCTCTTTTTTTTTTTGTTTTTTTTGAGACAGGGTTTCTCTGTATTGTTTTGGAGACTGTCCTGGAACTCGCTCCGTAGACCAGGCTGGTCTTGAACTCATAGAGATCCGCTTGTCTCTGCCTCCCAAGTGCTGGGATTAAAGGCGTGCGCCACCAACGCCCGGCTGAGAGATGGCTCAGCCATTAAAGGCTAGGCTCACAACCAATCTATCTCTTATTAATGATGGTAGTAATATGTTGTTTGTAATCTAACAAATAAGGCTTGCTTGAAGATCAGAGTGCAGAGCTAAGTCACTAGTTAGCTACACGCCTGGTTAAATGCTAAGCCACTAGTTAACCACACACACTAAGCCACTAGTTAGCCATAAGAGGCAGGAGATAAAGTACTCAAGGTCGTCCCTGACCAGTCTGTGGTGGGGTACGGCTTTAATCCCAACACTTAGGAGACAGATGTTTATGGCCTTAACATACAGTACAGTGAGTACAGTTTTACAATGCAGTAAAACAGGTTCTATCATTAGCTTTTAGAGTCCAGCCAACTGACTCCGAGGCTGGTTTTCCTAAGGGTTAGGAGGTAGTGAATGGATTGAGGCTTACATGGTCCAACACAGAATCATCTAAGAATGACTTGATTCCAATATTTGTTTCCCACAGTGACTTTCAGGCAGTGCAGCTAGCTCTCTGTAACACAAAGGCTCTCTTTTCCCAATAACAGGATTGCATTGGACTATTCACAAGTTCATTTCATGTACCCCATGTCCCAGTGATCTGAATCCTGACCCTGCTTATTCTCACATTAAACACAACAGAATAATAACTCACAACATTGAAAACATTAAGCCAGTTGTGGTGGCGTGTGGCTTTAATCCCAGCATTTCAGAGGCAGAGGGAGGATAATCTGAGGCAGTCTGGACTACAGTGAGTTGTGGGTCAACCAGAACAATATAAAACAGACCCTGTCTCACAAACAAACCAAACCCCAAGTGAACAAGAACACAAACAGCAGTAACTAACTGCATTCTACCTCAGTAACCAATGTACACTGACAGCTTGGATTAGGTAGGAACTCTTCTCCAAATTAGAGGCCACCCCGTTGTTATGTCACATTTTAAGCCTTGAACAATGGAGGCTATCGTGGAACCGCCTGCTCCTATTAAGTCAAAATCTCTTCTGTTGAAGTCCATCCCTTGTCATTATTGCTTTTAGATTTGCTTCAAAACCTTATAATGTTAGGAATGTTAAGGAACCACTTTTACTAAAAGCAAAAAACGTTTTAGAAAGGCTCTAACTTGGAGAACTGACCAGAACAACTTTCAGGACAATTTTCAAAATATAACCGAGGGTCAGAGGAAAGTTTTTTCTGGAAATTTAATAATAAATTAGCTTTCTAATATTTTAACACAACTTTTAAGATATTCTTTGTTTTTTTTCAAGCAGACTTAGTGTAAAACCCAACTGATCTTGAACTCAAAAGCCCATCTATTTCCCAAGCCCTGGGGTTTTGATCACAAGTGTATGTCCGCATGTCGAACACATCTGGCTTTAGAATCTTTTAGCATTGTGTAAATGCCGACATTACGTGTCTTTTGAACTTTTTTCTTTTTGAATGAAGGAATGCACAGGCACCTGTGACTTTTAATTGCTTTGATTTTTTTTTTTAAATTTCAAGGCAGGGTTTCTCTGTGGCTTTGGAGGCTGTCCTGGAACTAGTTCTTGTAGACCAGGCTGGTCTCAAACTCACAGAGACCCACCTGCCTCTGCCTCCAGAGTGCTGGGATTAAAGGCGTGCGCCTGTTGGTGACAGCCAGGCTGCTATATGAATTTTGAATGTAGCAGAAAGCTCGGTTCCTGTTCTTCCATCTGCAGAGCCCCATCAGAAACTCCTGCTTCACACAACAGGTATCTATCCCCCCTTCTGACCTCCACAGCAGGTCCAGCTCTTACCGCCACCAAAGAGCCTCACAAGTCACAGCTGCAGTGACTTATTTGAAGTTTTTTTTTTAAAGATTTATTTACTTATTATATATGCATGTAAAATAAGTCTGTCTGCATGTGTCCCTGCAGGCCACAAGAGGGCACCAGATCTCATTACAGATGTCGTGAGCCACCGCGTGGTTGCTGGGAATTGAACTCAGGACCTCTGGAAGAGCAGCCGGTGCTCTTAACCACTGAACCATCTTTCAAGCCCCCTATTTGTATTTTAAAATAATTTATTCATTCTTATACTATGTACATTGGTGTCTGCCTACACATATGACTGTGTGAGGGTGTCAGATCTTGGAGTTACAGTTGTTAGTTGCCATGTGGGTGCCGGGAATTGAATTCAGGACCTCTGGAAGAGTAGCCAGTGCTCCTAACTGCTCAACCATCTCTCCAGTCCCCTAATTTGTATTCTTAATTAGCCTATGATCTAAAAACACTGCGGTTTAGTACCTAACTTTTCTGTTGTTTTGCTTTTTGGTGTTTTTCAGGCAGGGTCTGTGTGGCCATCTGTCCTGGAAACGTGTATGTAACAAACTGGCCATCCTGCCTCCTCATTATTGCTAGGATTAAAGGCATGCATTTGATGCTTAGCTCAATATGTAGTTCTCAAAGGAACATTAAAGGAAGTATGATTTGTCTTTCTATTTTTCGCTATTATCTTCCAAATGCCTTTTTTTTTTTTTTTTTTTTTGGTTGGGGGAGTTGTTGTAATGTAAGAAAAGCAGCGCTTGAGAGATGCCATATGACAAGGTTCAAGAAGAGGGGTATTAGGGAAAGGAACCATAAAAATGGGAAAGGGAAGAGAGGAGACAGGAGCAGCAGCAGAGGAAAGGGGGAGAGAGGGAGGGGGATACAGAGAGGGAAAGAGAGGATGGGAGGTGCGCAGGGCCCTTTTAAAAGGGAACACAGTGAATGTGCACAGGTGGTGCTCTTAGTGGCTGCAGCTGAGGGTGTGTCCTGTCAGAAGCCCAGGACAGGCCGGTACAGATGTCTGATTATTAACAGTTGTTGTTTTGAATTTTCTAATCTACATACTGATTAACACAGGGGCATGTGCACCTGTACATACACAGGCACGTTCTATAAGCCCAGATTGGGATACTTAGTTTTTCTAATGGTAGGATGCAAAATGTATCTAGGTAGAGAGCAGTGTTGGGAAACACCGTGTCCAGGAAATCCTTCCCCTTCTTTCCATCAGTCACATTGGACGCTGATTGCCCATCTGTTCGGTGCTGGCTGCCTCTTCCAGCGTCTCACACCTGCAGTTTAGGACTTGCTATGATGACTTCCCACTAGCCCACAGAGGGAATCTAAAGCTGACCATTCCGCTTATATAAAAAGCTGTATTCTTCAGTAACCTGGCTGATTATCTAGACAATGCGGAGACGACTAAAGCAGGCTTTCTCATTTTCAGGCAGTAAAGCAGCAACCGAAACATCTTAGAAGCCTGGAAAAAATTGTCAGAAAAAACTATTACAGTAAGCCGGGCGTTGGTGGCGCACGCCTTTAATCCCAGCACTCGGGAGGCAGAGGCAGGCGGATCTCTGTGAGTTCGTGGCCAGCCTGGTCTACAGAGCGAGTTCCAGGACAGCCTCCAAAACAATACAGAGAAACCCTGTCTCGAAAAACCAAAAGAAAAAAAAAAAAAAAACACAACTATTACAGTAATTATCAAGAGTAAGAGTCTGAATTAAATTCGAACATTCCAACAATGGTTACAATAGACATTTATTTAAAGTGAGGCATCTGCAGAGCAAATAACTCTTAGGTTGTGATTCAGGTTGAAACAACCTCTTAGAAAATGCTGAGACCACGCACACCCATAGATCTCATCTGCAAGATCACTTCTTTGCCCATTCTTCTTTCTCTTTCCTTTCCCGAATAACCTCTTTGAGATAGGGTTCAAGGTAGAATTTGTCCTAAAGAATGAAGAAAAATAATAGGACTTAAACTTCATATTCATTACAACAAACTTTGGCTTGTAACACAAGAAGATATGATCTGAACTTCTAGGAACTACGTGCTTTTTAAATATAAAAGCTCACAAAGATCATGCAGTGAGGAGTCCTAGGGAAAAAAAACACCTAAGGGTCTGCCAGGTTTCAATGACAACGTCCATGCTAGGAACTAGAAGATCACTCAGGGGCTCACATAACTAAAACTCTTCATTAGAGCAGGAACTGAAGTAGAGGGAAAAAACAATGGCCCAACGAGGCAGAAAACTGAGATTCTAGCCCAGGCCTTCGATACTAAAGACTAGCTTAGTGATTGTAGAAGTCACTTCGGCTCTAAGTTACCATGTTGTTCTTTAAAATAGAGCTAACAGTTTTCTGCTAACCTCACTTAGCTGTTGAAATGCTACTTATGAAGCATGACTTGGAGAACACTAAAACGCAAACGAATGTGTTTCTCCCATTTCTGATACGGCATGCTGAGTGACCAACACCACTAGACAAAGCAAACCCGTTCTACCTCCTCGTATTTTGTCCACTGCTCCTTAGGCAAGATCTGATGCCTCATGGACAAGTCCAGGGCTCTCTTAATTCGAAACATTCTCTCATTATAAAGATTCTCAGGAAGCCTCCTTATGGCTTCCTTCACATCTTCGGTCTCGTACATGGTATCGTCTCTCATTAGACCTGTGACAGGAATATAAAAACCAGATCAGAGAGCTGTCTCAGAGCATACTTTGCTTCTTCCCACCCAGCCTCAGACTCATGCTTGCCTTGAAATGACCACCTTCTTGTCTCTGTTTCCCCACTGCTAGAATTACAGGCATAACGCACCACATCTAGTAGGAGCTTTTCATATGTGTGTGTGTGTGTGTGTGTGCGTGCACACACATGTACCTCCACATGCGTGTGGAGGTCAAGGGTGTTAGTTCTTGCTTCTCCACTTTGAGATAATCTCTGTGCTACTTGTAAGAGGTAGCCCACCAGCTTCCAGAGATTCTGCCTCCCATCTTCCCAGAGTGGTGCCCTGGGATTACAGCTGCTTGTGCTATTGTTTCAGCTTTGTGGTGGGCTCTGAACTCAGGCCATCAGGCATGTGAGGCTCACTGAGCCATCTATTCCATCCAGGACTTTTCTTTTCTAATGAGCAAAACATCTTTATAATTTATAACTCAAGACTTCACTGAAAAAAAAAAATCACCAAATCACTATGTAAGATGGAAACCAAAAGCAATTCAGACCTGAGTCGTTTCTTGAAGGAATATGTGGGCCTCTTAAAACCACTATTATAAAATTCCTATCTCATATGAACCAGTTTAGAAAATATTTACAATGTGTATCTTTCAATTGAAAACACGAGTAGACCTCATCTCTCCTTCTAATCTGAGATGAAGGAAGAAGTAAACAGGACCAGTGAGATGGCTAGGCACATGAAGGTGCTTACTGGGCAAGCCTGATGACCCAACTTGGATCCCTAGACCCCATGATGGAAGGAAAAAACTGACTCCTAGAAGTCTTCCTCTGACCTCCACAAGCACACCCTGGTATGATCAATTCTTTTTTTTTTTTTTTGGTTTTTCGAGACAGGGTTTCTCTGTATTGTTTTGGAGGCTGTCCTAGAACTCGCTCTGTAGACCAGGGCTGGCCTGAAACTCAGAGATGCGCCTGCCTCTGCCTCCCAAGTGCTGGGATTAAAGGAGTGTGCCACCGCCGCCCGGCTGATCAATTCTTTATTTTCTTTTAGTTTTTCGAGGCTTCGCTGTGTAACTTTGGAGCCTGTCCTGGAACTAGCTCTTGTAGATCAGGCTGGTCTCAAACTCAGAGATCCTCCTGCCTCCCCAGTGCTGGGGTTAAAGGCATGTGCCACCACCGGCTGGCCGGCTGATAAACTCTTTTTTAAAGTCATAAAGAGCTTAAAATTGTACTAAGGAATGCTATGATCTGCCGATGCTTCCATTCAGCTTCTGGACCACAAAGTGAAGTTCACAGCAAAATAGACAGCTCTAAGGAAGCTTACAAATCATATATGGATGAGAAAGCCTTCTCTTCAAAAGATTAAAAAACTCAAAATAGGTTCATTTTAAATTTGATACACACAAAACCATAATAAGACATCTTTTGGAACTGCAAGAGTTCTTAAAAAGCACCACATTCAGGAAGAACAAGATGACCACAGAGAACAGATACTCACCCAGCTTGTTGAATCCTGCAGCGTTATAATACCATTTTCGAAAACCATCGAGCCACTTGCTTGACGCTGCAACTGTAAGTATCACACTGTTAACAGCTATACTCAGACATTTACATCAATAGCCAAAAAACTCTTATACTCCTATAAACCTAAGGATGAATATCCCTTTGTACACAATGTAGACAATCATTTCACTATGACATCAGGGGAGAAAACTGTGAGCTCAAAACTAAAGGTGCCTAATATCCACAGGTATACTTCCTGCCACTTTGGGTTCTCAAATCCCAATGCCCTCTGCCCTGCCATCACCTGCTGTTATCAGAACTGAAAGGACAAGGGACAAGAAAGAGATCTGGGGCATTTCTATCATTTGTGGTGGCAGAACTCTTCTCAAAGAGGGTGAAGCTATGCACGCACAGCTTAGGTGACAGGCTGCTCTTAGTCTCCAAAACTTTTAGTCTACATAATTTCACCGACCATCTTTAAAATATAATTTCTAGAAACTATATATAACACCAGTTAATCATTTAAATATCAATAGATTAGCAAAGAAGCCAATTTTTATTCTTCTAAACAGCTAACTGGACATGGATAAGGAGAAATACTACATGTTAAAATTTACTGTGACATGCATTGTGGATTCCAGACCTTATATAAACAAACAAAGAAAAATTAAAACAAGGTCTGGAAATGTAGCTCAGCCTAGTATGCAAAATACTCCATGCAAAAAACAAAACAAACAACTCATAACTCTTTGGGAAACGAGGCTGAGCAAGTAACCTTAAAGAGGTCCATCCAGGCAGTAGGGGAGTGCCTGATGTTGACAAGGAAAGAAGGTGGAACAAACCTAACCTGTATTTTTAAAATGTGAGGGGTGGGAAGGGGGACAAGCGTGGGCCAGAGGACAACAATAGGTCCTGGTCATGTTTTTACTTTTGAGATGGCATCTTTCACTGGTTTGGAACTTGCCAAGTACACTAGCCTACCCGAGCCTCTCCATCAAGATGAAAACCATGGACTAGGTCTACTGAGGCAGGTCTCACCATGAAAATGGCTGGCCTGGAACTCAGGCTTTATTAAAAAACCAACAAACAAAATAGGTTCTGGAAAATGAATCTAGGCATGTGATTGCACTGCAAAGCAAGCACTTTAACAACGGAGCTCTCTTCTCCATGCCCCAAACTTTTGTTTTAAAATGTTGTCTAGGGCTAGTGTTTCTTACCAAGGAAGAAAAGCAAGTTTTCCTCTCAATTAGCTCCTGACTTCCCATTCCTTAGTTTAGATTACTACATGGGTTCCTCCAACCTCAGAAATGAAAAGGGGGAAATTAACAACTAAGGGCTAATCACTCCGTTGGTAAAGCCCCGAGTCACAGCCCCAGCACCATATAAAATGGGTGTGGGGGGTGCATTCCAATTCCAGCATTTAAGGGAAGCAAAAGCATCAGAAGTTCAAGGTCATCCTTCAGTACACAGTGAAGTCACAGCTGGCTTGGTCTACACTACACCCTGACTCAAAAAATTCTGAAATACAAAATTTAAAAGAGTTAAAAAAAATACCAAAAACAGATGCACAGGAGCTAAGCTGTAAACATAGCTGTGGTTATGATAACGATTGATATCAATTTAACACATAAAACGTGCAAGGCATTACCCTGCGCACCCTTTCCACCTTGTCTAGGTTAAGAGACTGTCGCAATAAATAAATAAATAAATAAATAAATAAATAGGAAGCAGGGTCATGGAAAGGAGCCAAGCAGACCTCTGTTGAAATCAGGTCTCTCATATCAAACACAAACACTGACGCAGAATACCCTAAATTTAGTAAGGCTCCTTAAAACTCTGTCAAGTGGGTGACCTTGACAATGTCTAAGGGCTGTGAGAACGGTGGCCGCTATTCCAATCACGGTTCAAACGCGGCAGGTTTGTTTTAGCGCCCACAGACAACAAGAGCCAGCTCCAGATACACCCCGCGCTGTAAGCAAACACCGCAACTCCGTCCACTCTGGACAGGAGCTCGAGGGGGCGGAACGCCATTGCCTCGGAACGCTAAAGCAGAGGGCAGCGTCCGGCGCCGAGTGCTCCCCCGCTTCACCGCCGGCCCGCCGCCTTCCGCTCGCCTCCCCGCTCGCTTCCCCAAGCTGTCGAGCCACGGCGGGCTCCACCGGCAGACGCCCCCGTCCCGAACCTCAGGCTGGCCGGGGACAGGGCGGGAGGGGAGCGAGTTGCTGTGAAAATAAAACCGCCCCGCGAGCACCACTGAGGACCCGTCACTCACCAGCAGGCCGGCCCGCCATCTTGACCGAGAGTGACGCGCGGCCTCCTGGGAAAGTCCTAGAGGACGCGCAGGGCTCTCGCGCAGGCGCCCTGCGTACCTTGGGCGGGGATAAGGGAAGGAGGGCTGACGCGCAGGCGCAGTTCTGTTGGAGCCATTGCTCAGAGGCAGGTAATGGGGTGCTCGGTGTGAAAGGAGGGGGTTTTAGAACGCCACAGGATGCCTATGGTTTAATACAATCTACGTACATTTCCTGTATTCTTTAGGCCACATCTAGATTACCTTTGATGCAGGATATAAAACGCCACACTGCATTATTTTGGAAATAACACAGAAAAAAATGCACATGCACGTTCAGTGCAGATATACCCCTCACCAGGTAAAGCAAGGTGGATTTTTTTTTTTACTAGAATTGGGAAATCCAGGTTCAAAATAAGGCTTCCTTATTTCTAGGATCATATATGCTGCACAACTAATATCAGAAGACAGAACCTCCAGGCTTCATTTTCTCCAGCTAAGGATTCATATGTAACCATTTTAATAGAAAGTTAGGTTGACAAACTTTAAAAATACTAACTTTAAGGTGGGAGTAGTGACACTTGCCTATGATTCTAGGATTCAGTAGGCTGAGGCAGGAGGATCACTGCAAGTTCTAGGCTGGAGTCGTCTACCTAGTGAATTTGACACCATTCTGGATCACCCATCAACCACTAGCCAAAAACCAAAAAATGTATTAAACCTAAGATATATTTTAGAATCTGTATATAACATTAAAAGCAGAGCAAGTAAATACTGTATACTTTCAAAACATGACGTCTAGGACAGAAAATGGGGAAACTGATATTACCGTTGGGTTTGACCATGGCACAACATTCTTTTCCCTGCTGTCTTAAGTTGAAGCCTGGGATAGCACAGAAGTGTTATCATTATGAATTCAAAATGTTACTTAATGGCTTTAGTCACAAGTTCTAAAGTTCTGTTGCCTTCTCCCCTTCTGTTTCTGCTACCTGATCTCGCTCGGTTCTAAGAGTGTATGCAATGGTCAGCGCACGCGAAGTCTGAAAGACAGGAGTCAACAAACGCATTTGTGCACTGGGGCATTGCTTTGCGAAGGATATTCTCTACAGTATTCACCCTGACAAGTCTCAGCATCAGGGTGAAAGCGGCTGGAGAGGAAGGCCACATGTCAAGGTGGTATCAGATATCCAATATAGTCAAAAGAATCCAACTTTATGGGCAGGATGCCTGGGGCTTAGTGTTTGCTTGTGCTCGTTCATGTTGGTTTAAAATGTTTAGGGGATTGCAGAGATGGCTCAGTGGACACACACCCTTGCTGCTCTGTCAGAGAACCTGGGTTCAGTCTCCTACACTAAGGCCAGGCAGCTCATCACCACTTGTCACTCCTAGCTTGAGGAGTAATGTTCTCCTTCTGTCCTCTGTGGCTACCCACATGCATGTGTGAACATACATCCGCACACACATACATGCAAATTACTACGACAAACCTTAATATTTTGAAAATTGTTTTATTTCTTTCCTCCTGGTATAATAGAGATTACACTACTTTGACTCTTTAAATTTTAGACACATATGTGACGCTTTGGCATTGCCCCTGCAAACAAGTTTTGTTTATTTATTTTTATTTTTTATTTTTGTTTTTTCGAGACAGGGTTTCTCTGTATTGTTTTGGAGGCTGTCCTGGAACATACTCTCTGTAGACCAGGCTGGCCTCGAACTCACAGAGATCTGCCTGCCTCTGCCTCCCGAGTGCTGGGATTAAAGGCGTGCGCCACCAACGCCCGACTGCAAACAAATTTTAAAGAGTAATCTTTAACATCTCTCTTCCCTTTAGAAGATGACGACACTACAGTCATGATGAAAACATCCAGGATACATCAATCTGTTCCATTAAACCACTTGTAGTCTCAAGAAACAGACATATATGGTTTTAAGTTGCTTAAAATTTTAGGACTGCCCAGAACAGCAGCACAGCTAACCTAGTCTGTTTCCCTCTGTGTTTGTGTGTCAGTATGTGTGCATGTATGTGTGCACGTATGTATGTAGGTGTGTGCATGCCAGAGGTCTAAGGTGAGTATCTTTCTCACCCACCTTAGCTTTTGAGATAGGATCCCTCACTGCATTTGGAGCTCACCAATTTGGACAAGGCTGGCTGGTCAGCAAGCCCAAGGGTTCCTTCAGCGCCCATCTCCCCAGCACTGGGATTACACTGTAGCCCTCAGTTATCACATGGATTCTGGGGATTAAACTAAGGTCCCTGTGTGTGAACAGCACTTGCCTGACTAAGCCATTGCCTTAGTCCCAAGTTAGCCTATTTCTGAGGCATTTATTTTTAAAAATACACTGATTTATTCATGTATACATTTACATTTAAACTTTCATCAAAAACTAAAGTGTCTTTAAGAATTTCTCAAAATCGTTTACTGAAGTTTTGGCAATCTCTTTGCAGAATACTTCATCAGGAACAGATACGAACTTGTCCAAAGAGACATAGTTGGGTTTTGCTGGATCGTACTGTGCTTTTCCCAAGTAGGCAAGAAATAAGTGTCTTTCTTTAATTTTAAATACTCTTGTATTAAATACCTGGAAAAGAAAGGAATTTACAATAAAAAGCTGAAATACTAACAAAATGACTTGGTTACTATTTTAGTTAGTTAGTTAGTTAGTGACATTGACTACATGTTCACTAAATATGATTACTGCTACAGGACTTAAATTCTACAATTTCTGTTGAGAAGTCATAGTTAACGAGGCTGAGAGGGTAGATCAATTGAAAGATAAACGTCCAGGATAGAAGAGGATCTGAGTTTGAGTCCCAGTACACATTTAAGTATTATTAGATAAGAAATTATGAGTTGAGCATAGTGGTGTCCAACTGCAATTATAGCACTTGGTAAGCTGAAGCAAGAGTAGTAAGCTTAGAGCCAGCCTACGTCACATAGCAAGTTCCAAAGTAAGCCTGAGCTATTGGGCAGAAGTCCTGGGCTATAGGGCAAAAGCCCATCTTTAAGAAAAGTGAACGAGAAAATAAAGGTAAATTATGATTTAAGAGGGACTAAAAACCAACACACAATGATAATGAAAGAAAGCCTTTGCTGGGCAATGGTTGTGTACACGCCTTTAATTCCAGCACTTGGGAGGCAGAGGCAGGAGGATCTGTGAGTTCGAGGCCAGCCTGGTCTACAGAGCAAGTTCCAAGACAGTCAAGGAGGGCTACACACACAGGGAAACCCTGGGGAGGGGGAGATTCACGGAAGACAGCCAACATGATGACTCAAGACCCAGGAGAGCATTGGAAGAGCAAGTCCTCAGGCCTTACCCCAAAACCACTTCACCCAAAAACTTGGGAACGAGGCACAGACATCTGTTTTAACAAGCTTTTTAGATTCTAGACTACCTGCTAAGTTTGAGAGAACGAAGATCTGTGTCAGCAAAAAGGAATTCATCATCTGTGTAGTGTTGAAGTGTCTCTGATATGATCTTTAAATTATGTTACCCAACAAGAATCAAAGTAAAACGAGGCTGCCCTCTGGGGGGTGAAGAGGGATAACATGCCTTTTCCTGTTAAAATCCCCAAGGACTAAGGAAAACCCAGCCATTTGACACAGGAATCTTGATATGGCTAAATACCAAGAGCCTCCTGTGTCAGAGGTAAGAGGAGGACAAGGTAGGAACCTGCAGCATAAGGACCTGGGGCTCCTGAAGGTGGTCTAAGCACTTGGCTGTTTAACAGACACTGTGGGACACTCCACAGGGAGAATACTTCTCGGCTTCTTTCACAGTGTGCAAAGTGGTAAATGCAGAAGGAAAGACACCAAGAAAAAAAAAAGCTGTCGAAAACTAACTTGCTTTGGGAACAGTGACCACAAAAAGTACACGCTGCTAACCTGGCGTGACGCTGGTATGCTTCTGGAACAAAATATCCCTTTGTGTCTTTGCACTGACGGTCATGAGGTCCACAGAAAAAGAAACGTGAGATGGAGTAACACGTAGAGAAAGGAGGCCTGTGTGGACTAGCACAAGCCATCAGTGCTGACTTCCAGACAAAATGCAGGACTAGAAGCCTCTGTGTGATGTTATGGGGAAGAGTCGGAGTAGACAAAAACAGACTTGACTGCAAAGAGACTGAGGGGAAGACTGTTGGAAATGAGCAACTATCAAGACAGGCAGACGCCTACCCTCAAGACACGCCTACAGCCTACACAATCTTCAAAGCCCACTGCAGGTTTTGGTGAGATGGTGATTCCTGGGCTAGTGGTGGACAGGAATCTCAGTTTGTCCCTTTTTCTCCTTTTGTCAGAAAGGACTATAATGAGTCCATACACTCAAAGCAGTGAGAACTCAATATGCATTAGTATTTCTATGATTTTCTCTCTCCTCTATACTGAATTACTCGCTCCATGAGCCCTCTACTACTGTGTAAGTTTATTTTAAACCTTTGCCTCTCACTAGATTACAAGCCACATATGACTGAGTTCTGTAATCTCAGTGCTCACACATATTCTAATCCAGGGCAGATGGTCCATTCTGTAATGAATGACTGGACCCCCCCTGTTGTGGGATTTCTTTTAATATACTGTACAGATGTGGCTCTGCCTATGGTGCCTTTTGATTGGTTTAATAAAGAGCTGAATAGCCAATAGCTAGGCAGGAGAATAGGCGGGACTTCCAGGGAGAGAGAGGGACTGGGGTAGAGGGAGAGAGACAGGGAGGAGACCCCAGCAAGATGCAGAGCAAGCTGGGCATACAAAATGGGAGAGAGATCAAAGCCATGTGGCAGAATGTAAATTAATAAAAACAAGTTAAATTATAAGAGCTAGTTGTAGAATATTATTTTAAGATGTGCTACATTTGTTTATGCTGTGGAACATTTAATGATGCAAAGATATGTTGCATTCATTTATGTCGCATTTGTTTAACTCTGTGAAGCTGTGATTCTTTGCCTGTCTAAAACATCTGATGGTCTAATAAAGAGATGAATGGACAATAATGAGGCAGGAGCAAGGATTGGTGGGGCTGGCAGGCAGAATAAATAGAAGGAGAATCTGGGAGAAGAGGAAGGAGGAGCAAGATGGAACAAGAGGAGGATGTCAGGGGCCAGCCACCACCCAGCCACAGAGTAAGAGTGAAAATAAGGTATACAGAAGTAAGAAAAGGAAAAATCTCAGAGGCAAAAGGTAGTTGGGATAATTTAAGAAAAGCTGGAAAGAAACAAGCCAAGCTAAGGCCAGGCATCCATAAGTAAGAATAAGCCTCTGTGTGGATTTATTTGGCAGCTGGGTGGCGGGCCCCCAAAGGAGCAAAGAGTAAAAAACAACCAAACAAGTGCTAGTTGGGAACGAGCCTCAGCTAAAGGGCAAGCTTTCATAATTAATAATAAGTCTCTGTATCACTATTGGGCAGCTGGTGGCTCCAAGAAAAGTCCCACAAGAAACATAATTGCATCCACAGAGTAGGACAAGGTTAGATTCTCATATAACCCACTTACAAACATCACTGTCAAGGAAGTGGACTAAATGCATTCTAGTTCTGAGAGTTAATTAAGGTCATAATCTTTGTACATGTCTATACCATTAACAAAGGAAACACTATTTTTAATGGAGAAAACCCCAAGAGACTATGTTTGAGTTTTCGCCTGATTCCAAAAGGCAAAGGCAGGATCAGGTAAAAGCTACAGTGGTAGAGACAAATGGACGCAAGGATCCGCAGGAGCCCGGCAGCTGTGAACTCCCTACAAATGCACAGCACCACACTTGGAAGCCTGACTGCGGGGCAGCTGTCTGACAGAGCTGGGAGATGCGTTACCTGTGGGAATTTGACGATGATGTGGTGGGGAATATTCATCACGTTGTGTATATAATCAAAAGTCTCCGTCAGCTTCCTTTTGTTTGCGGTTAGCATCTTTGGGACTCTGGTGACCATATGTTGGATTTCATTTTGTTTAAAACCAAGTTCAAGGCGGTAAACCTAGAAGAAAGTAAATTCCTGGGAGTCATGAGTAGGAATGGTCTTTTGGCACTACGCCAGAGGGCAAATTGATTCTTCTAAATTTTAAATTAATAACCTTTTAAAATTCGGGGTCATTTATACCCTGCCCCTTAAGGGATTATAACTCACTGGTTGGGGTTACCCAAATTTCAAACCCCTGACACTAGCAAGAGCTTCTCTACATTGATGGTCATGAGGTCCACAGAAAAACGTGAGATGGAGTAACACGTAGAGAAAGGAGGCCTGTGTGGACTAGTACAAGCCATCAGTGCTGACTTCCAGACAAAATGCAGGACTAGAAGCCCCTGTGTGATGTTATAGAGAAGAGTCGGAGTAGACAAAAACAGACTTGACTGCAGAGAGACTGAGGGGACGACTGTTGGAAATGAACAACTATCAAGACAGGCAGACGCCTACCCTCAAGACACGCCTACAGCCTACACAATCTTCAAAACCCACTGCAGGTTTTGGTGAGACGGTGACTCCTGGGCCAGTGGTGGACAGGAATCTCACTTTGTCCTTTGCACTCTGGTATGCAGAGACTCTGTGCCTTCTAGAGAGGTAACATTATTTGAAACTGAGCTACACTGGAGGCTTGAATTTGGGGAACCATGAGACAGTGAGCTGGAATCCAGTCTGCAATTGTCTCAGGGTGAGAGACAGCCTGGGGAGGCAGATGTAGAGACAGAAGGTGAAAAGCCCAGGAGGCCTACACGGTGAATTAATTACAGAAGGATAAGCAATCATGACTTTGGCCGTCAGGAGCGCATCAGCTCTTGGGGACCCATCTCCCACCCACTGCGGTGAAAATGTACCTGGCATGTTCTGGGACAGAAGTGGAACTGAAAAGTGCCATGGGTGCCAAACACAACAATGTTCTGGCTTCTCAAGTTCCTTTGAGTCAGCCTCTGTACTGGCTGATGCCGTGTGTTAACTTGACACAGGCTAGAGTCATCGTTTTTTTCCTCAGTTGAAGAAAGGCTTCAATGAGATTTAGCTCTGAGGCACTTTCTCATTTAATGATCTGTTGTGGAATACTACTTTAACTATGAAAGGTGCGTTACATTTGTTATGGTGCAGAATGTGTTACATTTGTTTATGATGCACTTGTTTACTTGTGTAAAGATGTGTTGCTCTGTGTGCCTAAGGCATCAGATTGGTCAAACAGAAAACCTGAATGGCCAATAGCTAGGCAGGGGAGGGATAGGTGGGGCTGGTGGGCAGAGAGACTAAACAGGAGGAGGGATCTAAGCTCCGGAGAAGGAGAGAGAAGAGAACAAGGGAGAAAGAGAGAGAGAGACGCCAGGGGCCACCAGGCAGCTGCCAGCCAGCCAGCCACAGAAGCAGCAAGAAAAATAGGACACACAGGATGAAAGAAAGGTAAAAAGCCCCAAGGCAAAATGTAGATGAGGAGAAATAGGTTAAAACAAGTTATAAGAGCGTGGGGTAAGCATAAGGCCAAACATTCATAACTAATAAGTCTCTGTATCCTAATATGGCAGCTAGTTGGTGGCCCCAAAGAAAGCCTGCTACAGTGATCACTGGGGAGGGCCCAGCCCATGTGGGATGGTGCCATCTCTGGGCTGCTGGTCCTGGGTTCTGTAAGAAGGTGGGCTGAGCAAGCCATGGGGAGCGAGTCAGTAAGCAGCTTCCCTGCATGGCCTCTGCATCAGCTCCTGCCTCTGGGATTCTGTCCTGATTGAGTCCCTGTCCTGACTTCCTTCAGTGATGAACAGCCATGCTGAAGTATAAGCTTAATAAACCCTTTTCTCCTCCAATTTGCTCTTTGGTTATGGTGTTTTGTCACAGCAACAGAGACAAAACAGCCTCCAACATTCTCAAACCATCAATTCTCATGATAGCAGTTTCCAGGTCCCAATTATACCTCACTGCTTCAGGGTCATGGGTCCTAATGTCTGCAGACTTAGGGAGACTGTTTCATGTGCAAGACCATGTGCCGAAATACACTGTCATTTCTGTCCTTTAGAAATACCCTCTGTTAAAACCTGTTTTGTCATTTTTTTTGCATGATGACAACAGCAATATTTATTCTCTTAAGACAACTTAAGAACATAAAGAAATTAGCTTCTCATAGCTTGAAGATACATTACCTTCATATTTTCTTTCACAGGCTCCAGACTTCCTGTTAGTAGCCTTGGAAGACGAACAACCAGATCTCTAGTCTACAGTTAAAACATAATAATTATCATCACTACACATGCACGTTTAACTAGTTTGGAAAACTAAGGCATTACAAGGAATGCCAAGCTAAAATTTAAAATATGACCCAAACTAAGACATGACAGAAAGCTTGGAAATATGTATCAACTTAACATTATTTGATGGGGAAGCCAACCTGGAAACAGATTTTAAGGAAGGTTTTGATGGTAGAGCATAAAGGGATGGAGCCTCTTGTTCTAGTCTGCCAGGCTCACTCATTTTGTACTCAAAGTGTCATGCATTTATAGGACCTGCGTAGGTCAGGCACTTAGAAGCATAGTGTTTAAAGGCTACTAAAAGAGGGAATACATTTTTTTCTTACTTTTTTTCTTTACCTTCTTTGTACTCAATTCAAGTTCTTTCTGAAAAAATCCCAGTCTGTTGTCCAGTCTTTCCACAGAGAAGCTCAACAGAAACGGTGCTTTTCTCACCATCTGTGCAACATCAGCCTTACTGAAATTTTTTGACTGTAGATAAGCTACTCTGGAGAAATAATAAAAACAAGCATGCATAATAAACATTTCCTAGAGAAATAAAATATTTCATGCTACTTTCTGAAAGAACATCTAGTTTTTTTTTGAGGCTTTGAGTACATACAGGAGTACTGTTATTTACATAATTTCCACCCCCATTCCTCCTGTGTCCTGCCCCAATCTCTTTTCGATTATTACTTTTACACACATACACACACACACTCTCTCTCTCTCTCTCTCTCTCTCTCTCTCTCTCTCTCTCTCTCTCTCTCTCTCTCTCTCTCTCTCTCTCTCTCACACACATTTATACAAATACAAACTTCTGAGCCTACTCAGTGCTATAGTAACATTAAAAAACTTCTCCATAAAAGAGATCAATAAAAGTACTCTGTAAGCTGGGTGGTGGTGTTCATTAGAGACAGGTCCCATTAGAGACAGGCAGATTTCTGAATTTGAGGCCAGCCTAGTCTACAGAGTGAGTTTCAGGACAGCCAGGGATACACAAAGAAACCCTGTCTCAAAAGTCCCCGCCTCTCCAGCCAAAACCTCTGTAATAGCCCAAATGTGGACACATTTTCAGGAGAAACACCTGACAATTTTTTTTATTGGTTTCCATTTATTTTAAATCGGAAAATAATCCTAAAATACTTTGGGAAGATCTTTAAACAAATCATTACCGTGCGAATGGTGGGGAGGAGGAGCAGGTGGAAGTCAGAAGGCAATCTTAGGGGTCAGTCCTAGTCTTCCACCTTCCCAGTGTTCACGGCCACATTAAGCCAGGTTAGCTATGGTCTGACCTCCAGAGGATTCTACTCTCTGCCTCCCATCACCAAAGCCTACTGAGATTACGGACACGTGGCATGGCATCTGGCTTTTTGTGGGTTCTGGGGATCCATACTCTAGTCCTCACACTTGAATGGCAAGCCATCTATTTCCAGCCAAAAGTTTTAGTTTTGAGACACGGTCTTATATACCTAGCTCAGGCTGGCCTTGACCTTTTCATTTTCTGGGCTTAGTTCCCCAAGTTCTGGGATTACAAGCATGTATAGCAGGCAGGCTGGCCTGGAACTCACAGAAATTTGTTTCACAGATTGGTAACTCTGACTGAAGAATGAAGTGCAAAGATGTTTATAAATGTTCTACTTAACAAGGGAGAAAGATCTTGGACCCCAGACTGATGGCTGAGAGACCAGCATGGGACTGAGCCAGACCCCCTGAATCTGGGTGTCAGTGAGGAGGCCTGGGCAATCCATGGGGCTTTGGGTAGTAGATCAGTATATATCCCTGGCACACAAATCCCACAACGAGGGATGCTCTCTCAATCTGGACACTTGGGGGAGGGCCTTGGCCATCTCCAGAATGAAATGACAGATTCTAGAGATCCCCCACGGAGGGCCTTACCCTCTCTGGGGAACGGAGTGGGGACTGGGTGGGGGGAGGCTGATGGGGGAGTGGGCGTGGAGGGGAGGGAGAGGGAGCTGGGACTGACATGCGAAGCAACCTTGTTTCTAATTTAAATATATAATAAAATAATTAAAAAAATAAATGTTCTACTTAAAGAAAGGGTTGTCGAGTAGTCTTGGGTGACAACTGGACTATACCTGGAATCAACTAAACCCAAGTTGCTGGGTACACCTGTGAGGGATTTTTCTTAATCAGGTTATTTGAGGAAGAAGACCCACCTTAAATCTGGGCCACACCTTCCAGTGGCAACCCACATAAAAAGGCCTGGGAGAAGGAAGCTTTTGGTTTTTTGCCTGTTGCTCTCTAGCTGGTGAGAAGTTCTGTTTTTTGTTTTTTTTTGGTTTTCGAGACAGGGTTTCTCTGTATTGTTTTGGAGGCTCTCCTGGAACTTATTCTGTAGATCAGGCTGGCCTGGAACTCACAGAGATCCGCCTGCCTCTGCATCCCGAGTGCTGGGATTAAAGGTGTGGGCCACCAACACCCGGCTTGAGAAGTTCTTTTATCCGGTTGCTTTGGTATTCCTTTGATGGGATCAGTACCAACCTCTTTAGGATGCTAACATATACCACCTACACGCCAGGATTTCTTCAGGATTCAGCAGCAGTGTAGGTCTGCTGAGACTTCCAACCTCATGGACTGAATAATTAGAGCATTCTTGGCCTTTTGGTCATGAGACAGCCATTGTTGGACTAGCTGAATCACAGCCTGCAGTCCATTCTAATAAATATGTATTAAAAGGCTACCAGTGTTCTTATTTAGAGAACCATGGCTACGACAAAGAGAATAACCTTTCAACTTATGGGAAAGTATATTATAAACAATTTGCTCAAAGAATGCTCAATGTCTGCAAAGTAGGATGGTTATGAGTTCAAGGCCAGTCAGGGCTATATAGTGAGACCACGTCTTCAAACAGGAAAAAGTAAAGAAAATCAGTAACATCAGTAACAATCTGCCCAACTTGTAAGCGTACCCTTAGATGATTCCATTATTTGCTAATAGAGACTTTAGAGACAAATTTCCAGGTTCTGAAGAGAAATATCTCAATACTAACTCATCAGTTAAGATGCAAAGAGACATAATTAACAGTCGACAAAAAAACTATTTTAAATACTCTATTTAGATTAAAAGTCCATAGCTAAAAGAACCATTCATGGGCTGGAGAGATGGCTCAGCGGTTAAGAGCACTGACTGTTCTTCCAGAGGTCCTGAGTTCAATTCCCAGCAACCACATGGTGGCTCACAACCACCTTGAATGAGATCTGGTGCCCTCTGCAGGCAGAGGACTGTATTCCTAAAAAAAAAAGAACCATTCATAGTTACTCAGTAGATCACTGATAGCAGACTAGAAAATTTCTCACACATACATAAGTCTTCCACTTCCTAGGTTATGTGGGAATCATTTCAAACTTTACCTTGTCTGAAGATTTTCAAGGTCTTCAGAGAAAATAGTGTAATTTTTTGTCAGGAATGGTCCCAGGTGGCTATCTTCTAAACCCAGATCTTTAAGAAACAGGAGTATTTGCTTAATGTCTTTTTCAAAATCCAGTCTTAGAAGGAGGTTGGCTGCATCGGTATGTCTTTCTATCTTAGACAAATCCACTCCTGTAACAAATGAAAAGGATTGGTTTGAGGGCAGTTTCTTATTCAGCCATTAATTTCATACAGGGAAAACTACTGATGAATAAGCTATTTAAGGGAGAAATGACAGGCAAATGGCAACTTTTTAAATGAAACTGGTTGCAGACATAAATCAGAATCAATTATAGTGTTTATGTCAATGGTCAATGTAGAAAGGAAAACAAAACATCTGTGCTTACATTTCCCCCAAAGAGAAAGTCCCTAAATCACACTGACAGCTGCTTGGGAGGCTGAGTCAGGAGGATCCTAAGCTTGAAGCCTGCCTGGGTTATACAGTGAGCTCATGGTCAATGGGGAAACCTAAAGAGACTAATACAAAAATAAAATTTAAAAAGGCTAGAGAGGTAGTTCAGTGATGAGTTCACTCTTCAGTACAACAAAACAAAACTCATTTTCTAAAATTATTGCTAGAGGCACCTTTATATTAGTCTTACTTATAAAGCAACAAAACATTTTTTCCCTAATAGTATCCACAATCAGAAATATCATCATATTCATTCACCAATTTTAGAAACAAATGTAATCCAAATTTAATTTTTTGATATGACAAGTGTGTGCATACCCATCTACGTCATACATGGAACAGAAACCAGAAACATATCCAGACAGAACTAAAACAATTTACCACACACTAGTGACAGTATTTTAATTCAACAAGAAAAAGAAATAATTAAAGTACAATGAGATCACTAGTTACATTGAAATGTTTCTGTGTCATATTTTCAGATTAATAATCTAAGTACATGTTAGTTCTATACCACAAAAACAAAGAATGTAAGCAGATATTAATTATAGAAAATAAAAAGCCCATGGCTAGCTTTCCACTTACTTTGTAAGAGGAAGCTTTGGAAAATTACTCAGCAAACTGGTAATAGTAATACTTGGGAGCAAGGGTGTCTCTTGGAATAGCTGAACTTCTATCAACTACATGTAATTCTTTTGTAACGTTAAAAATTACACAAAATCAAGTGTAATCAATGAATGAATTAAAAAAATGAGATGGAAGCCAGTTTTCATGGGGAAACATAGCTTCAAAAAATAACCTAAAAGACATGGACTCCAAGTGAGTTTACACATGTCTGAGGGCCTTGCTCAGTGTGACCTGTCACACCCTGGCTGTGAAGAAATGGAAAGCTGCTTTTAAGCTGCAGTGGGAGAGCAGAATCCCATCGGGAGAGCTCAAGTCACTCAGGTCACTGAGGATTCTACTGAAACAAAACACCAGACAGAGACTTCTGCTAAGCACTGGGGATAGACAATGACCAGCATATACTCTAACAGATACTGATGCTGCATCTGTGACTGTTACATATATTTACTCATCAGTGAGGTCTGGAAATCACTAAATGTTATCCCACTGAGCTCAAACAGAAAGAAATGTAATACAGTGGTATGGGCAGAGCTAAGTGGACACACCAAGGCTATCTAGCAGCAGAGGTAAGGAGACCAGGCCTTTTCCAGAGCCAGAGGGAGCTGTAAGCTATTAGCAAAGAGCCACACGACAGGAGCTGTTGCCATGGGAGGGGCAGTTAGTTAAGGGACCTGAAGAAGAGCGAGCATGAGGAAAATGACCTGACCTCTCCCTTCTGGCCTTCACGATGCTCTGGCAGAAGCTGTCTAGGAGCCGGGTGGCATAGGAGCCCGTGAGCACAGGACTGGCCTCCTGGGACGTAGAGAAGACAGAGAAAGGAGGAAAACACACAGAAGAGGACCACGGCTTTATTACTAAAAACGCAGACAAGCAGCACGGGATCCTCTAAGTTACTACCCTTTACAGTTAGTTCTAAGACACGCTATTGAGGTTATTGGCACACACAGAAAGAATGGCTGAGACACATCAGAAAGCTCTAAGTAGATTATTTACAGTCCTGGACCACGTGGCCCCTCCATCACTCTGACTACCTGCTGTAGACCAGGGAAGCTGTTCTGGAAGGAAAGGTGACTTCCTGTCCTGCTCGTAGCGGGTATCAGATGTCATCTTTTACCTCTGAACTTACTACAGAACATCTCCTAAGCTGTGTACGATCTGAGGTTCAATAGATGCTTTTAGGCATATCGAAATTAGTTAATGATTAAACAAAGCTAATTATTGTTATCACCGCATGTATCTTTTTTGCAGGTATTTAAAACATACTTAAGTACATCATAGATTGCCAGAACTAAGTAGGGAAACTTTGTACCCTCCCACCAACATCTCTCCATGATCACTTCCCCTACCACAAACCACCATTCTTCTCTCTCTCTCCTCTCTCTCTCTCTCCCCTCCCTCCCTCCCTCCCTCCCTCCCTCCCTCTCTCTGCTTCTACTGATGAGTCACGACTTTGCATGCAAGTGCCCCAAGTCCTGTTGGAAATGACAGTACTTCAATCTCTGTGAGTGGCTAGTATTCCATTATGTATATGTGCAGCACATCTCATTCATCTATCTATCTATCTATCTATCTATCTATCTGTTTATTTATTTATTTTTGGTTTTTCAAAACAGGGTTTCTCTGTGGCTTTGGAGTCTGTCTTGGAACTCACCCTGTAGACCGGGTTGGCCTTGAACTCACAGAGATCTGCCTGCCTCTGCTTCCCAAGTGCTGGGACTAAAGGCGTGCACCACCACTTCCCGGCAGCACATTTCCTTTAATCATTCATTAACTTATGGATGCTTAGGTTAATGAAAGAGCCCTTGTTTGTATTTCTCATTTTACCTCCATCTTCACCTTGCAGTTCTTCTCAAATAGGTGACTGGCCTAGAACTCACTATGCAGACCAGAACTCCACTATGTAGACAGGGCTGGTCTTGATCTAAGATCAAGCTACCTATGGCTCCACATGCAGAGATCCCATGCCTAGCCTCACACGAAGCTTCCTGAGAACCTAAGTCATTTCCTACACACTTGGGTAATATCTGACTAACTGGGTCCCAAACACTGTCATCAGTGCAGCCATAAAAGCAGGCAGAGTGGAACTCAGAAGGGTCACTGTTCTGGTAGGGCCAGAGAACACATTTCAGAAGCTGCTTGAGCTTGAGGTAATTTCTCTGACTGTTGGTCAACCAAAGGAGTAAAGTAGGCAAGAGAGGAGGCTGACGGGTGAGCAGAAGGAAAGCAGGGACGACTCAAAGGCCTGGGGAAGACTTTGAAGATTTGTAACAGTTAACCAGAGCTGTCAATTGGCAATTTTTAGAAGGAACACTAACACTACAGAGATTTTTCAGGCCCGGACACTGGAGTTAGTTAGGCTCAGGAGGTTTTTGTAAACATGAGGACTTGAGTTTGATCCCCAGAAGCCACATAAAAAAAAAAAAGAAAGAAAAGGAAAAAAAAAAAAAAAGGCCGGGCCTTTAATCCCAGCACACGGGAGACAGAGACAGGCAGATCTCTGTGAGTTCGAGACCAGCATGGTCTACAGCGCGAGTTCCAGGACAGCCTCCAAAACAATACAGAGAAACCCTGTCTCGAAAAAGGGAAAACAAAAAACAAGCAAGCAAACAAACAAACAAACAAAAAACCAAAACAAAAAACCACCACCAACAACAAAAAAAGCCTGGCAGCCAGGTGGTATGCACCTGTAATACCAGCACTGGGTAAGCAGAGACAGACAAATCCTGGGGACTCACTGGCCAGTCAGTTTAGCCTATTTGCAATTTCAGACCAAGGGAAGAACCTGGTTTAAAACAAAACAAAAGGAGCCAAGCAAATGAAAATAAAAATTATCTTTTGGTCACACGTATACATGTATGTGCGCGCACACACACACACACACACAGTGACAAAAGAGTATTAAAGAGTACTAAGAGCAAACGTGAGAGACGGAATATGGAGGACAAGGTCCTGAACAGATGTTAAGGAGGGAGGGAGGGAGGAAAGAAACTAGGACAACTCCTTAGGCTCTCTGTCATGGCACAGGATTCTTTTCCCTTTTCTGATAAACAAAACAGCTTTCCAAGACGTGGGGAATGAGAAATAAAAAAGGGGCTTCTTCGCTAAAACAAGATGTATCTGTATCCCACAAACACAACACACAGAAACAGACTTATCAGAGAGAGCAAGAAACTGAAAGGTGTCTCGTAAAAAAAAAAAAAAAAAAAAAAAAAAGAAACTGAAAGGCCCCAAAACAAGAGTTCTAATGTAAGACGCCAGTATGTGAAACACTTAAAACTTTTAGAATTTGGACTTTTTGGGGTGTTGGATGATCAACTAGAAAAGTCTATGCAAATATTCCGAAAAATAACGAAAAAGCCTGGAATCTCACACCCTCCTGGCTCCAGGTATTTTGGATAAGGAATACTTGTGGTTGTTTCAATAAAAATGACCCCCGCCCTGCTGGCCCATACGGAGTGGCACTATTGAGGTGTGGTCTTGTGGGAGGAAGTGAGTCACTAGGGATGGGCTTTGAGGTCTCAAATGTTCAAGCCAGGTCTAATGTGACTCCCTCTTCCTGCTGCCCGTGGGTCCACATGTAGAACTCTCAGCTCCTCTCCAGCACCATGTCGGCCTGCATGCTGCTATGCTTCCATCCCTAATTAAATGTCTTCCTTGAAAAGAGTTGCCACGGTTATGGCATCTCTTCGCAGCAACAGAAACCCTAACCTATTAAACAACCACAACTAGAAACTGGAGTCCCTAGAGATTAAGATGGTCCAAGATGAAGTACAAGAACAGGGAACTATGCACTTGGGAACTCTGATTCCTCAATCTCTTACCTATTCAATTCCTCTCAACTCCCCCAGGGTCATTCCTGAGAAAATCAAGTAGAAGTGCCAAACTAGACTCAAGAAAGACAGGTCCAGCAAGGTTGTTAGATTACAGATCGGACTGAAGGAAGGTGTGCACCAAACAGCTCTAGCTTCCTTTAATGACCTAGATTCAAGGATAACGTCCTGGACAGCATGTTAAGAAAGTTATGCTACAGGCCGAGAGAATGGTGGGCTCCAGGAGGAAGGCAGGGGAGCAGAGAACGGTGCACAACGGGTCAACAAACGAACACATCACAGGCTGACTGGTCGGGGAGAAACCTACCAAGCTGTACTAGCCGCTGCAACGTCTCCGAGTGATCTACGTAGTCTCCAAGCGTGAAGGAGGACAGAGGCAGCAGAGGGTCTGCAACAATCCGAATAGCCTCCTCCTCTGAAATCGGCTGCATCGGGGACAGTGGAGGCAGGTCGTCCAGTTCTGTGCAGCGAGTCATGAGGGAAGAGAGAAGCAAGTCAGCACGGTCATATACACGTGGGCAATTATTCCTCTAAAGGGGCTCTTGTAGTTGGTATCTTAGCATTTATATCAGGAAGCTCACAACCCTGTAACTCCAATTCTAGGGCCTCCAATACCATCTTGTGGGCTCCATGGGCAACTACACTCATATGTATACACATATACATAATTAAAAATAAAATTCATCTCAAGAAAGAAAGTAACCCAAAAATCTATTTCTATAAATATTCTATCTTCCCTAGTTTGTGTCTTTCATTGGTTATGTACTGAGATCATTTCAGAATTAGATGCTTATGAATTCCAAGCCTAGAGTGATGGGCCACACCTGTAATGCCAGCATTCCACTGGGGAGGCCGAGACAGGAGAATTACAGCAAGTTTGAAGCCAGCATGGCCTAATAGTTGTGACCCCACATACCACAAAGGTCCAAAAATATCTTAAGATTTGAGTAACCAGAGAGACCAACTATTCTCCCTTCAAGGGAAGAAGTTTGTTGGTAAGGTTGAAGGTATCCAATCCATTTCTGAGACAGTGAACACAAACCAGGCAATTATCTCACTGCAGTTTCCTAAATGCCAGGGTTCCAGGGTAACCTTGTCTGAGTAAGGCACAAAACTACTCATCATTTTCATCAACAGGTAAGAATACTAAAGATCTACTGCTCTTCAACCACATTCTGAGAGATGTGGTTTGTGAACTTGGCCAAAAGTACGACTTTTTTTTTTTTTCGAGACAGGGTTTCTCTGTGGCTTTGGAGGCTGTCCTGGAGCTAGCTTGGTAGTCCAGGCTGGTCTCGAACTCACAGAGATCCGCCTGCCTCTGCCTCCCGAGTGCTGGGATTAAAGGCGTGCGCCACCAACGGCCGGCACGACTTTTTTTAATACCCCAAATCAACATTCTGAAGTTACGATATCTAGAATTCACTCATTTTGATCCAATGCTGTCCTCTCTAAATTCTCCTAGAATTTCTGTGTTCCTACCACCTGCAATCCTTTGTCAGTCCTCTATTCTGACCCGATATGGAGCCCTCTGCTATTGTTTTAATACGACTTGGAATGGAAGACATTTGAAATTTTGATTTTAAAGGAACACAGACTGTGATCTCTTACTGTTTTACTCTATTAAACTATCCTTTCTCATTTTTCACAGGCAGCTTCTCCTCCCTACCTCCCCTTTTAGCATTCATTCACATTCTACTAACAGAGTATTATTCTACCCGTGGCATAACAATGTAACCCTATGTCAACAGTCATGGAGAGAGGAGTGTTGACTGAAAAGCAACTCAAGGGAAATTCACTGTTCCCATTCGGCAATTATCACACAATTAAATGTATGTATGTATGTACGTATGTACATATGTCAAAACTGTATACTCCTACAGCGGCATCTTGTTCAGCCAGTGGATTTGCTGTGGTGGCCTAGGGGCATGGCTTCAGGTGACCCCTAATAAGGAAGAGGAGGGGCTGGCTCTCTCTCTTGGGTTGTGGTCAGAGCATCCAAAAGGGCATCTGGTGTGTAGCCAACATCACAAATCCTCTGGCTGAACAGGATGCCGCTACAAACCCCAAAGATAAATATAATATCAACTAAACCCTAATAATTCCAACTAATGCCAAAAAGGACACTTTTCAAAAGAAGCTACAAGATCAAATATTTAGAAAGCAAATGTTTTACACATTCAGCGATGAAATAATCTGACACAAACTAACCTGGGAACTTACTAAAATAGCAGCTTCACACAACTAAATGAACAGAGCCCACATTGCCCCTTTTCCTGACTGGTATAAAATAGGACTTGAAATGGGCATTGTCTAAATATGCAGCATGATAAAGACTACCCCTGAGAGGGGGACTTTCCTCAATGTCCAGAATTACCTTCAAGAGGCAGCTCAGATTCAAGACTGGGTATCATCTCCGGCTTTTCACTTACTGAAGGAAGCAGAGTGCTTTGCGAAGAATTGCTCTCCTGCCTACTGGAGTTGGCAAACTGGGAACTATTCCACAAGGAGGAAGTCCTGTAAGTCTTCATTCCCCACTGGAGAAAGCAAGTGTCAGGGGACAACAGAGCCTGAGTTGAGAAGCCGTTTGACGATGTTTTTCCTGGTCGTGCAGGCTGTTTTGTGATTTGCACAGCTCTAATAAAGCTACTCCATTTAACCGAGCTGAACCATCTGGGTATCTGTCCCTGTAGCAGGGCCATTTTTCTCTTAGTCTACAAAGGAAAAACAGAATCATCAAAAGAAGAAAGATTAACTTACTCAAATACTTAAAACAGTAGTCAAACAGCAGACAAATAGGTAATAAATTGCTTCCTAAAATAAAGGATTTAATTAAATATGTCCAGTTTAATCAAATGCTTCTTATATACAAAAAGCCACAAGCAAAGACAGTCTCAGCTACCAACCAAAACAGGAACTATAAAATAAAGATATGCTTCACAATTTAAAAACAACACAAAGAAGCCGGGCGGTGGTGGCACACGCCTTTAATCCCAGCACTCGGGAGGCAGAGGCAGGCGGATCTCTGTGAGTTCGAGACCAGCCTGGTCTATAAGAGCTAGTTCCAGGACAGCCTCCAAGACCACAGAGAAACCCTGTCTCAAAAAACAAAAACAAAACAAAACCCAACAACACAAAAAAATCTGTACATGCTCAAATTGCAACAATCAAAATCAACTGTTAATCTGCTCTTCAAAAGGAAACTGGACCTGTGATGCAATGAAATGTTCTTGGAACTTGGCTTGAAGTGTATTTAGGAAATACATTGCAGATTATATAATGCTGAGTTATTAAAATGTATTTATGCATATAAATTAGTCACAAAGCAAACAAAAGGAAACCCACTGTTTTAAATGAGTCATAAATAACATTGCTAAATGGGACACTGAAACTGTTGACTGAAGCTGATACCCAGTCCTTCAAAAGAGAACAAAGGCAGTTTGGTAAAAATCCTGCTGCAAGAAAAAGAACAGCTTTCAAACAGAAAGGGTCAGAATAAGGAGCAGCTGGGCATGGTAGTGAACGCCTCCTCTAGTTCCCTCTTGGGACAGAGACAGCATTGAAAGTTTAAGGCAAGCTGGAACAACGCATTTGAGAATGTTGGGAAAAGAAAGAAAGGAAGGAAGGAAGGACAGACCAACAAAACCCAAACAAGTAACAAACCAATTCTAAAACCAAACCAGTAGCAACACTTAAATATTAATTAAGATGTGATTATTATGTGCTAGACAGACAAAAATGTTAGTTATAAATTACCTCTTGCTTACGACTCTGTACCTTTTTTCTCTACACAATGGAATTCAGCTTGTTTCATGCCCTGAATTGAGTGTCTAATGTCTTGGAGGTGTGTAGTATGGGGGTGAGAGTTATACAGGAGCAAATCTCTTTCCTTCTGAAATGACCCAAAGAAGGACGCGTTTGCAATAACCTTGCGGGATGGGTAACTTTTGCTAAATTTCAGTTGGAAAGGAACTTCCAAACCTGTCAAAAATTTCCCTCTAACTTCTTCTGGTCTCCGCAGCGGTCACTCAAAGTGGAAACTCAGTTATGTCACCAAGCCAAGACTAAACTTCTAGTGAAGCTTTAGCACCGCCAAGGAAGGTCTATCCACAAATGGCCAAGGACAGCTCTGAACGGTGTGGCTCAACACAAAACCACAAGCTCTCTTAAAACATTTTCTCCCACGGGGGTTGTGACTTGACAGCCAGGTTCTCGAAGTGAACTCTCGGCAATATCAAGACGGGACATGCCATTCCAGCCCATGATGAAGACTCAAAAAACTACTCTCCACACAATGCTTTTTATACGTGCTATGCTGGGGAAAACTCAACAGCTGTACAGTTTAACCTGCGCGTCCACGCTCAGCTCCAACGCATGTTTTCATGAAGGTGGAGAATACAACCACACGATCAGTCAAAGCACTTTGTGATACTTCCAAGCCAACCCCCAGAACCCCAACTTCATCCTGGGGTCTGTCCAGAATGGAGTGGCAACAGCCCTCCCACATATGAGTGAACTCACTGTTGAATTCCATCTGCATTCAAAGATCTGAACGCTGAAGACTAATTTCCACCCTCCGCCTTTACTTGCCACTACACCCCTGATGCAACGTCTAAACCATCTGAACAGAAGGAAAAAACAGAGCTCCGTCCCCTCCCTGGGCCCACCTTCCCAGGGACCCTTCAAGCTACAACCTTGAACCTCGGGGGGGGGGGGGGGGATTCCAGTGTGTTGAATACCGGGCAAGTGCAGGCCACACACAGCTCTCAGAAACGAGTACAGATTTGCACTCCGCGGCGTGTCCATTAGTTAGACGGAAGAAGAGGGGGGGGGGGAAGATCCTTAACATCTCTCAAGTCAATCGTAGGCTATTCCAGTTCTCGGCTGCACCCTGTATTACACTCTGAGGAACAGGGAAAAGAGCGGATACCGGCTTTTCTGGGTTCGAGACCTCTACCGTTAACTAACCAACCCTGAGCTCCGGAGATGAGAGGCGCACACTTCGTAATAAAGGGCCTCTAGGCAGCGCGGCCTCCCTCCCCCGCCCCAAGGCGGTTCACCTAACCAAAGCGTTCTGCTAGGGCCGCCCGAGAATCCCCAACAGAACTTCCACGGGAGGCCGGGACAGTTTCCGGGCACCGTCTAGCGCCGGAAAAGAAGCCCGGCAGCGTGGACCCCAACAAGGTTCAGGCACGCACAGGACCAGCCCGGACACCACCACCCCTCCCCCGCCAGCCTCCCCCTCGCTGCCCACCGCCGGGTCACCGAGAACCTACCTAGCCGCGAGGCTCGCAGCCGCTGGGTGCAAGCAGAGCGGACTCGGACACCGTCGCTCCCGCTCCACCGGGGGGGGGGGGGGGCAGGTCCTCGGCGGCAGCGGCGGCGCGGAACGCAGCGTGGCGGCACCGCCGGGTGGCCCAGCCGAGCCAGCGACGCGCCGCGCCCGCCCTCCCCGCGCCGTCACCCGCGTGAGCGAGCTGCGCTCCGAGTGGGCGAGACCATCAGCGGCGGATCTGGAGGGGACGCCGGCTGCGCGGGGCCGGCGGGGACGAGAGCCTGCCGGGGTCTCGGAGGCCCCCGCGGCCGATCGACGCGTCGCTCGGACCCCCAGCTCCCGCGACTCTGGGCGCAGGATGCGCGCTCCGCGATGTCGCCCTGCCTGGGTCAGCCGCCGGCGGCCGCGCTCTCCCCCGACCCCGGGCCGCGGTGGTGGCGCCGCCGCGACCCCGCCCTCGCGCGTCGGTCCTTCCCTCTGCTAGCACCCGGCGCGGGGCGCCAGACCGGGTCCCAGCGTCAGGCGGCTCCACCGCCGCTGCCGCCGCCGCCGCCGCCGCGGTCCGTCCGTCACTGCCACTCGCCGGGGTCCCAGCCTTCGCGGGCGGGGGCCTCCGCCTCCGCGGCAGGACGGGGAGAAGGACCATGGCGTCGTGCGTGGGGAGCCGGACTCTGAGCAAGGACGACGTGAACTACAGGATGCATTTCCGCATGATCAACGAGCAGCAAGTGGAGGACATCACCATAGACTTCTTCTACCGGCCGCACACGATCACCCTGCTCAGCTTTACCATCATCAGCCTCATGTACTTCGCCTTCACCAGGTGAGGTGGGCCCGGCCGGCCGTGCGCGCGCGCAGGGGCGCCCGAGCCGGGAAAGGGTGGCCCCCGGTGTGACTGGCGGTGGGGAAGCGAGTAGCTGCTCCGCGCGCGTGCAAGCTCGCGGACGCGCGGCCCACGCAGCTCCTCCGCCCGCCGCGCGGCTCGCAGTCCTCTCAGCCTACTCTCTTCTTCCACCTGCCACCCCTCGCCTCCAAATCCTCTCTCTCATTCGGTGCCTCGGGCCACACCAGGAGCTCAGGGCAGGTCACCTAGCCGGGTCACCCACATCCCTCGCTCTGCATCATCCCCCACACGTCACTGCCGGGACGCTGTGCTCCGCCACACTTCATCCGTGGTCGGTTCCTAGCACACCGCATGAATCATTCCATGACTGCACCGCTTTCAGGGCAAACTACACACACACACACACACACACACACACCACTCCGTACGCAGGCCTGGTATACAACTAGATTCCCAATGAACCCCTCTGGTATTCAGTTTTGCCGGGCACACACACACACACACACACACACACACACACACACACACAATGCACATGTGAGGTGCATCACATTGTTTTTTCCAACGCCACACCTCTTATATGCATTGCATACAATCATCTAACATAACCTTCCCCCTGATCTCAAATGGCACCCCTATGCCACAGCCTCAACACGCATCCCAGTGCACACCTCCCATCAAGCACAGCCCAGTACCGACCAGCTCCAGGGCACTGCATAGACTATAGCTGATCACCCATCACACGGGGCAGACCCCGCCCTGTCATCCATCTCCTGACATGCATGCTGAGAAGAGATAAGGTTGAGCAATGGTGTGGTACCTGGAGACTACTAAACACTACGCTAAACAACCACATAGTGTATGCAGCACAACACAGCTCTTATTCCCCTAAAAATATATGCATATCTTCAAAGCACTTCTAATGGGTGCATATGTTCTTACTTTTCAAGGGCGCTGCTCCCGTGGCTCCCCGACCCCAGCCAAGGAGCTACTGGATCCCACAGCACACACACCCCACTTCTATTTATGATTTATATTGTCTAAGTTATATTTTTTTTAAAGGGAGGGGAGTCATACCCTACCCACCACACCATTGTGACTTCCAAGAGAGACTGTTGGTTTCAAAATTGGCTGTGGTTTTAGTGGAGTTACTTAATTTTGTTCTGAGTGTGAGGGTCTGTGCCTGCAGAACGAATAAAAATGTTTGTATTCAGCTCAGGGTATGAAGACTACATAAACGTGTGCAAACCTGTTAAGCAGAGTACCTGCCCCATTAATGGCAGCTTTCTCAAGTGTCCAACCCCTTCTTTTAATTTTTGTGAAAAAGGATTAGGCAGGCAGCCCAGGCTAGCCTTGAACCCCCACTCTTCTGCCTTGGCCTAGTGTTGTGAGCACAGGCTTGTACCGCCACGCCCAGCTCCTCTTGATATTTTTGTGCAATAATCAATCAAAGCCTGGGGGAAAGATGCAGAGATAGTTGACCAGTCACAGGTATTGGAGAAGCTTCCGTTACGTAGTAGAGGGGAAGACAAAGGGCATGTGATGCTTCACATGGGGCAGCATTGTACAACACAGACTCAATTGCAAACGTTTATGGTATGCATCACCTCAAAGACAGAAATAGCAGGTAACAGTTACTCTGTTCTTTGTTAGAGGCGCCACGACCATCATCGTAAAGTCCGCTGATATTTTGCAGTTGGGACCTCCCTCCCCTCCTATAGTTTCTAGCTTTGGAGAGGGCTCACTCCTGAGACTAATTGTGGTTACATTCAACTACTCATTATGCCAACTGATTTTACCACATAGAATATATGCCTGCATAATTTCTTAAGCCCCAGTTTCCATATCTGTATGCAAAGTGAAAATGTCAGTATTATTGATACCTTGTAGGATTTTGATGAGAATTAATCCTTTTTTTTTTTTTGTACTTGTTTAGCTCACTGTTTGGCACTGGGTTAAGTGGTTAAGAAGCATGATTTCATTGTCTGATAATGCTTTCTAGATTATGTTTGTTGCTGAATAGGATATGCTTTGTTCTGGAATTGAGGGGGGAAAGGTAGAGGCATTGGAATATGGACTTAGTATAAAATACCTATTTCTTTCACATTAACTTCATCTAGTAGGTGGGTTTGAGATGACAGAATGGTGAGGGGGGGTCTTTAGAAATGAAAGAAACAAATATACTATTTTATTTTAGATGGTGAAAAGAGAGAATCAGCCCTATGTCTTTAGTATTATTGTAGGCCATTTCAAAATAGATCTGCCTTTCTCTTTTCTAAGGCAGAAAGTAATGTTCTGGGATCTTCTTTTTTTGTGTGTGCTGTGTTCTGTCTAGTTGATGCGTTGTGGCAGTGAAGTGGGAAAAATGAGTACGAATTTTAACAGTTTGTCAAAAGTAATAAAAAAAATAATCTGAACCTTGGGCTATGGACCTTTCCAGAAGTTATGACAATTTTATTTCTTATGCTAATTTCATAAATAAATCACACAATGAGGAATGATTAATCATGCATTTTATCTTACATAAAGTTAGAGGCATAATTAGTAGGAATTATTAGCATCTACTTTTTGTAAAAACTTAACGATCCATGTAAATGGGATATTATAAAGATAGCTCAACTTTGCTCCAGGAAGATCAAGAATAATGTGGGGTTTTTTTATTTTATTTTTATGTTGTTTTGCCTGCCTGTATGTCTGTGTGAGGGATTTGGATTCTCTGGAACTGGAGTTACAGACAGTTGTGAGACACCATGTGGTTGCTGGCAATTGAGCCCAGGTTCTCTGGAGAGAGCCTTGAGTGTTCTTAACCACTGAGCCATCTCTGCAGCCCCAAAAGTAATGGCATCTAAACTGAAAAAAATTTCACACTATGCTCTTTTGTAATGACTGACTGACTGCCGTACCTTATATGAACTTATACTTAGGTAATGTTCAGTGCAATTCTTTCAAACTTTTAAAACATGTCTTGGTGTTTGTTTTTGCAAAGACCTACTTAACTAAGAGAGTAGAATACTTTGGGAGTTTTGTATTACCAGGATGTAATAATAGTGCCTGGTGAGATTATGTGCTATGAATACCCTGCAAGAATTTTGGAATGTGAAGGATTTGTCACCTCAAACAAAAGTCTGAGGTAAGGTTGGGTTTGTCCAGGAGTTCTTCTGTTAGAGAGTTCCTTTGGGTTGAGTATCACTCAAGGGCACTTACTGATGGGAAGTTAAGTACAGGGTTTGCTATTGGGAGATGGTAGAATCATTCAGAGATAGTGCCTATTGGTAGGTTCTTATAGTCACTGAGGGCATGTTCTTAGAAGGTTGCTTTTATGTATCCCACCCTGAATCTTCACTTGAAAAGTCTTATAAATGGAAGAAACCTAATCTCTTGTCCCCTGCTTTAAATGCAATTATTTGACATAGTGACTTCCCAGCAGCCAAGGCTACAGAGTAGTAAGACCCTGTCTCAAAAACAAAATAAATAACCCCCAAAATTGCAATCCCACAAGTTTCTGCCATTGTTACCCACGATCTGAAGAGGTGTAGTGAATTGGCAGCCTTGTTGGCACTTGCAAATAGAAATTGTTCCCTGTCTAGATTGCCTCATGGCAAATAACTGTAACTATTCGATCGTAGATTCATTTGTTCTTGTTTTCTCCAGCTATGGAACTAAGAGGATAGGCAGCCGACAGAAGAATGGGCAGATGTTTGATTTTTTTTTTTTAAGTAACTGTTCTTACTTAATTTCTCTTACCAACTTCGGAAATTTTACTTTTTCATTTTTCCTCGAACCATATTTCTGGGTCTCTTTAAGGTTCTCTAGGGGTTTCTCTCAGCTTTCCTGATTTCTCCCTCGAAACAATATAAAGACCCAAAAGAAAATGCCTCCCAATACTACCAATGAGGTTGTCTTGGTCCTGCTTTCCTATATCATATCTTCTTTTCTCTATGTACAACAGAAACCTTGGTGTCTCTTGCACCAGCAATATTAATTGATGGCTCAAGAAGTACACAGCTGAAGCCAGACCAACCTTTTGAAGGCCAGTTAACATTGCTCCTCACCATCTCTCTTTCCCAGTTATTTGAATCATTTTACAATTAGAATTAGATAAGCATGTTTATAGGTTTTTAAACTTATCTCTTTTTTTAATGTTTCTTTTAATATTCCCCTAATGAGATCATAAACTTATTAAAGGGAAGAGCTATATATTTCTTTGAGGTCTCTGCAGTGAATAGGCCCTTGGGTGACTCAGATATTTATTTGGTTTCAATGGTACCTTACCCCAAAGAGATTATATACCAAGGAATTA